TGAGTTCAAACCCCAGTTAACACCACCAAAAAAAGATGTTTAAAAAATAAGCCTCTATTCTGACCTCACACCATACTTAAAATCAACTCTAAATAGATCATAAATGTTAACATAAAAGCCAAAACTCTAATAAATTTCATAAAAATAAAAAAATATTACTCTCTTGGAAGTAGGCAAAAATTACTTATGACAGGACAACAGATGTACAAAGTACATAAGAAAAATAAGAATAAATTGGATCATATTAAGATCTAAAATGTCTGCTCTTCAAAATGCATCATTGAGAAAATGAAAAGGTAGGCTACAAACTCAGTGAATTTTGTTATACATATCTGACAAAGGTTTTATATCCAGATGATGCAGGATTTTTTACAGCCTAATAGGAAGATGGGAAATGGGCTAACAGTGTGGTGAAGACACCTCACAAAACAAGATTTATGAATAATTGAAATCATATGAAGAGATGCTTAACACTATTAGTCATCAGGAAATTCAAATTTAAACCACATTAAGATGTCATTGTCTTTTGAATAGAATGGTTTAAAAATTATTGATGATACCAAATATTGACAAAGACATAAAGCAACCAGAGTCCATGTGTTGTTGATAGAAATGTAAAATAGTATAACCAGGAAAAACAACTTGGCAGTTTCATACCAAATTAAATGTACCCTTTCTCTTTGACTTAGCAATTCCATTCCTTCGTATTTACCGAAGAGCACTGATAACGCATGCCACATAAATGCTTACACATGAATAGCAACTTCATTCATAATAGCTAAAAACTGGAAACAACTTAAATTCCCATCAACAGGTAAAATAAATTGTGTTAGTCCCATATAATAGAATACTGCTCTGTAATAAAATTGAATGAAGTATTAAGACATACAACATGGACGGATCTCAGAAAACACTGTACTATGTGAGAAAAAAAAAAAGCCAGGCACAAAATACATAATGTATGATTCCATCTACATGAAATTCTAGTAAAGATGACACTAATCTATAATGATGAAAAAAAGATGCATGGACACTTGGGCTGGGGATATTGACTTTCTAAGGGGCAAAAGGATATTTTGAGGTGTCACTGGGGCATATGCATTTGACAAAACTCACCAAAATGTACATTTGCATATAAATATGTATATGCTTTATAAAGGTCTAAATAGATTCACTCAAAAATACAAAATGGTAGTATTTCAAAGATGATATTCAAAGCATTAAATAGTTAAAGAGCACTGGAACTGACCAATCAGAACAAATGGTGGGTGTGAACAACTGTCACAGCCACCCCATGCAAATAAGATGCAGTGTGCGCCATGGGTGGTGGAATTATTGATGGTTTTTCTCTTCTTTTTGTTCATCCTTACTTTTTAATTTTCTGTAACAATCAGGTACTTTAAAATAAGAAAAAAATCTATTTTTAATTATAAAAAAGAAGAATGGTACCTGGTTGTTACCACATTTCCTACTGTTATAAAATTCTAATGGATCTCAAAACCCTAATGGAACTTTTAAATAATAGATATGAGAAATGGTATACTAAAACAGCATTGAATTAGAAGTTAAAAATGGATAATGCTATAAAAATATTTTCCATCTACTATAAAGAAAATGGTGAGATATATTTTATATTATTTGACAATTTTAATATTTTTAAATGCCTTCCCTTTGCTCATGTCCCAACTAAACCTCCACATAATTGATTATGTTTAAGGGAGAGAAAAAAGATTCTTTCTTTCAAATTGTCCTGACTCTGAAATGCCATCCCACTCAAAATACATCATACAGTATTCTCCTATGGGTAACTTGGCCTAGGTCAAACCAAAATCTGAGCAAGTCAGGAAATCAAATGATAATTATCAACCCTAGATAAATTTCTATAGCAGAATTACAGCCATGACAAGGAGAATTGCTTCCATTTCTTCCTCATACAACTACCATTGTTTCTATGGCTTATCACAGCAGCAAACCTTTGCTCTAAGCAATTCTTCAGAGGTAAGCACAATAAGAACCAGGCTATAAGAGCCATCAGTGAGAAGCTATGACCAGCAAATAATGATCAGGGAGTCCCCTTTATCATGTCTCTCCCTATTAACAGAGAAACCATCCCAGCTCCCCATTGGCCCAGATGGGAGTCAATAGATGGTTTCACAATAGGACTCCTTTCTGAAACTCTGAAAACTCCAGGATAAAATTATGCTACTGCATGATCTCCTAATGTTGCTTCATAATGCAGCTCAAATTTGTGATTTTAAAGGCACCCAGGCCCACTGTGAGTTCACAATTATCTTTAATGATTTGCATGTCTCCGTGTTGCTGTGGCTACAGGAGAAGCCCATGCACCTAAACACGCATTGCTTATGATATCTCGGGCTGTCAGGGTGTGCAGAAATGGGAGGTGGAAGCAGTACCTTCACCATCTCCAGTCTTAGCTCACTCCTCCTCCCTTCCAACACAAGCATATTGTCTCTGATAGAGCCGCATGTCAGCTACAGGAACCCTCTTCCATCCTGGCTCATGGGACCCCTGTCAGCCACAGAGGGGGACCGCCCTGCCTCACTACCTGGACAGAAACAGGAGGGAGAGAGCAGAAGAGGCCATGATGTTCTTTCTCTCTGGCAACTGGAAGAAGACAGAAAGCTCTGACTTCTGAGGGTGAAAAGTCATAATTATAAGAAGCATATGGACGTTTTTACAAGGCACACAATGTAGCATTTTCTACCATATTCAACCATAAACTACATTTCCAGATCCATCTTCATTCAGATATTTTAATATCATCCACCCTCTAAATGAGGATTTGAATTACCTTTATGGTTGATAAGTATTATGTAACAATAATTCTAGAACATTCAATATCTCTTATGTAATCATAACAATGCCAGATGCTTATCAAACAGTTTCTCTGTACCCCTTACATTCATTAGCTTGTTCAAGTCTCAAAATAACCCATTGTTATTATGAGCCGGGATCTGAACCCAGATCTGTGTCTGGAGTCTTTGCTGTACTGAGACAGATCAAGAACCATGAGCTCTATCACCCTGGAGAAGTGAACCTCTTATGGAGCCTCCTAAGGACTCAGAATGAAGTTGACCATGGCTATTCTTCACAAAGTCTCTGGATGATTGGGAAAAATTTTCCAGTGTTGCTTCTTTGGTCTAAGTAGAATATAGCTGGCTCTCAGAGAAGATACCATCAGTGATTTCCAGAAACAGAAATGGCCCCACTGTGATTCCTTAGGTTTAAAGTGCTCTTGATAAATTTTGTAGGGGACAGTCCCAACTTCTATCCCCTGTATGGTTCCCAGAAAGTTCTCTCACTGGGCCCATTTGGGGGAAGCAGCAGAGGATGACATCACCTGATCCATGTCCTCCTGAACTCTTAACCACTTCACTTCCAACAGTTACTTTACTCCCAACACTTTGTCCAAGGTCTACCACTGAGTTGTCAGAAGGTTCTTTGCCTATAAGCAGGCTGAACCAGGAGGGATCCTGAGGAGCAGTCCTTGGCCAATGACTGACAGCATGAGGACATAAATACCTCAGCTCCCTCAGTCCTGAGGAAGAGAACTCAGAAACAGAACTTCATTGTCTCCAGAGCTCCCCTGCAAGGTGAAGCCATAGTTTCCCATCATGGAACTTGACTTTATATCGCACCCTTACTTGGCCTCCTACCTTTCCCACTTTCACTTCTCTACTCTCTTACTGGTTTTTTGTCTGGTATCACTATATAATAAATCATTTTCATGGCTGTCACTGTCATCAGTCTGTCTCTGGAGAACCTCACTAAGAAGTAACACTGGCTTTGGGGGCCTGAAGGGGCCCCAAAAGATTCCATTAAGTCCCTGTACAGTTCAAACAAACACCTTGAGTCTAACACTCTTGTTCTTCACAACAGGAATCTTGGTCAGTTAGCACAAATGGAATGTTTTACTAATCCACTTACATTGTTCTTGTTCACTGCTGAGCTACTTACTCCTCAATAATTTTAAAAATGACAGATATCAAGTTATTGCAAGAGAGACCACCAGGACGTCCTTGCATAGTATCATTGAATGAATACTTATCAAGGAAGCTATGAACTGATGCCCAAATAATTGTGGCTTCGACACAAAGAAAACACAATGGCTTCAATGGCTCAATGGCTGCCTTGTAGCCTGAGAGCCAGATGGGATCCCTGCGCTGAGCAAGTGCATTCTCAAGCATGAGGTCTAGAAAGGATACCAGCCCAAACTCCTCCTTCTACAGTCTTGGATCCTCTGAATCAAACTGGCATGTTAAACATTTCTTACAGTAGCTTTAAACTTTAATTAGATACTCTACCAAAGCAAAGATCAAAATCTCTACAAAGGTTTTGTTTTTGTTTTTTTTTTTTTATGATGAAGTATTTATTGGCATGTCTCTTCAGAATAGATTTTCCTACCCCGGGCCTGAAAAGAAATCCCACATGGAAATCATTCTCAAGCACTTTTTAAGTACTTGAGAGTTTGTCCTTCTTTCTCATCTCATGCAATGACTTGTTAATGAGGAATAATTAAAATAGATTCTTATTAATAAGATGAGAGGGGATGCATTGCATTTCAAAAATATTTTTTGAAATTTAAATTTCAAATTATATTTTTTGCATATAGAAACTTCAAGTGCACAAATACCTATAATAGAGAAATTAACATCTAAAGCTTCATCCTTATGGAGTATCTAAATCTGGTGCATTTCAAATCTATCAACGTGGTTGTAACAAAAGATCTGCTTCATGCAATGAATCAGCCTCATTGAATAAATAGAATTACAACCTGTTATTCTCCATGTAGTCCAGCCAAAACATTACTACTCTTACAGGAACATAACTATGATTGTTGTGCATTCTTTTCCATCCTGGGATCTGGGCACCTGTTTTTCCTATATATCAGTGATCCAAGAGATATAAAGAGATTTCTTCAAAATGTTCCAGAGCAAACTTCATGAGCTGTTCAACTGGACCCTGCCAGAAGCTTCAAGTTAGGTTTTCATCTTGTATGTCTTGTTAAGGGGAAATCCTCCCCCAGTAAAACGAGAACCCATTGGTTTGGCCATTGAGATGGTGTTGTTGGCAGTGGATATACTCTCCTTGTTTCTGTAAGAGAGGATGTGAAAGTCAGTTTCACTAACATCTTTTTTCTCTTCTAAGTTTAATATTCTCTAAGTTCCCAGGTTGAGTTAGCCACTGAAAACAACTTTGATTAAAGCTTCTAGTTTTAGACAAGGTGGTTGTGTAAATCTAATTAGATGTTTGATGATGACCCACAGAATTAGGGAAAGACAATTAAATGCGAAATGTGTTCTCCTAAGGTTGATCTAAATATGAATAGAGAACCTCATTATAGCTTGAACACTGTGGATTCTGTGGCTTCTGACTTGCAATCATCTTGTTTTAGAAAACATTTGTTTAGTTTCAAAGATCAGTCAGAAGAATCTTTCTCTTAGCTCAATTATAATGACTAATTCATCATTTATCAGCTGGTACATTCCAAAGTACCACTGCAAGCTGTCTTCATCTGTCTTCATCAAACTTGGACATTTATAAACACAGTTTCTTCCTGTAACTCTAGACAAGCAACACCTATTACTAGAAATAATTTGAGATACAAGGAAATCTATAGAACATTTCAAAAGATAGTATTTTGGCAACATTATAAAAGGAGTTCTACCCTAAAATAGACGATGTATTTTTTATATGGATCTCCTTTAAATACAACACACACACACACACACACACACACACATATTCAGATTCTTGCAAAGAGAAGTTAAATTTAGACAAGTTGCCAATTCAGTAAGGGTCTTATAGAAAACACTGGTGGAGTCCCTTTTAAACCAAAATTAAGCAAACTGGTAAAACCAAAATCAATTAGATCAGACAGCTATGAATGGATTACCCTAGGGGAGTGAATTCAGCCTTTTGGAAAAGAACCTAACTGGCCCTGTAAACTCTGGACCAGCCTGGAATCTGAGGTGGGGAAGTCAGTGGCAGGTGAGGCACAGGTGGGATGTAAAGGGTGTTTGAACAAAAAATAACAAAAGAAGGCAAAAATAAGATGAGTTGCTATTTTGTGAAGGGCATGTGTGGCAGAGAACATCCACTGGGAGTATTCTAAATTATTCTATTTGCAAAGAACCTGCAGAGGACTGGTTAATAAACCCACCTGTCTCTTAGCAGAATTGATTTCATTATTGTGAAAAGCCATCCCCATAAGTAGGACAAAGGTGTTAGCCTTGAGGAGATCCAGCAAAAAGCATCCTTTAACATGCTTTGGCAACTTATCTGGCTCCTGATTGGCATTAGATGCAGGCAGTCCTCACTCCTCTCCCTGCACTCTCTTGCCTTAAATAACCTAAATTTTCCTTTCTGAAGGAACTTAAGCTTAATGCTTCTGGCTTGGTCTAAGCTGACTAATGGGAATACTGTCTCCTTTATATTATCTTTTTAATGTATTTATAGACCATTATAATGACTCCCTGCAGCCTTCTTCCTTCCCGTCTAAACCATCTCAGCACTTTTGTTCTTGCCTCTGCATATTTTTCTTCAGTACCTTCATATTTTTTGCTGTGCTTCTATGAACTTGTCTGTCTGCTGGTTTATGGATCCCCAGGTGGATGGATCCACCAGTAAAAACTTAGCCAGGTCAGAGGGGCTCCAAGTGACCAGCATTCAAGGACAAGAAGAGGACCAGTAAAGTTAGCAAAGATTCCAGAGCAGCCATCTCAGAGAGATCCTTCTGCAATAATGGAAAGGCCTGGTAGCAAGCCCCTAGGCACACGTGGCTATTGAGCACTTGAAATGTAGCTAGTACAACTGAGGCAGAGAATTTTTGGTTTCATTTAATTGAGATTCATTTAGACTTAAATAGCCACAGTGGAATATGGCTGGGGCAGCAGAGGCCTCATGAATGAGCCACTGAGAGAGGCTGAATCAACAGAGGGGCAGCTCATTGTGCTCTCTGTGTCCAGCAAACTAGGGGTGATCCATAAAGTCAAAGCAGACTAGGCTAAACCCTATGGCCAAGGCAGGTAAGTGAGCCAGCTCTAGAAAGACAAGAAACTCTTTAGCCAAGCTATCTGTTTAGAACTGTGTAATCTAGAGCACTGGTCTCCAAATGGGATGCATGAGCCCTGGAGATGAGTGAGATGATCCATTGGTGGTAGAAATAAGGAATCAGGGATTCAATTTATGCTTTTATCTTATTAAAAAATTATGCTTTGCTAATAGTTACAAAATGACAAGAGTATGCATGTAGCTTGTAAATTAAAATATATTGTTGGTAAATCTAAAGCTATTCTAAAATAAACTTTATTTTTAAAAAAATTTTTATACAGTGGAAAAAATATGTGCATGTATATATAGTTATATATATATATATATATATATGTATACATATATATATATGTTTGTGTGTGCGTGTGTGTGTGTGTGTGTGTGTGTGTGTGTAGGAATCTCTCTGCTTCCGGCCCCTTCGTGTCAGGGTACTCCTTTCCCCTGTCTACTTCTCCCTGCTTTACTAAATAAACTATTGCTAATCTTCAAAAACTAATGTGTTTTGATGGGAGGAGGAGCTGCAAATTTAAGAATCTTCACTGATCAAGGTGTGCATTCAAAGAGCTTGAAGACCAATTAGCCAGACACCTTCCTCAAGTGGGAAACAACCATATTGGCATTTTATAAGCATGACCTTGATGATGACCTTGATGTCCTGAAAGAAAGCCATAGTGTTTCCTCTCCACTCTTCATTTACTTCACATCATTAATCTCAGTGGTTCTTAAACTTCAATATGCATAAAAATCACCTGGGGAGGATGTGAAATTGCAGGTTTCAGGGGCCCTCCCAGAGCCTTCCAAAGCAGGATACCTGGAAATGTGGCCTGGGAACCTGCCTGTTTAATAAATCCAGCTACAGATTCTGAATCAGATGGTGGCTATACCCACACATTAAGACAGACTTATCTAATTATGTCAATATTTTATTCTACCAAGACGCTGGCATCTGAATGTGGAACGGGGGAATATTCTGATTTACAAGAAGGGCAGATTTTTACTGGCAAATGAATTTGCATCCAGTTACTTTATATGCTGTTTGCCACTAACAGATCTAAGGCAGATGCACTCAAACCATATTTCAGTGTGTCCCTGAAGTGTCCACATAGATGACAGAGTGACTTTCAACCCCTAATGGAAGTCACTCGGAATTACCTGGATGTTTTTGGCAATCCCCTGAAATCAAACTGAACCCCAAGCCTACTGATTTATTTGGGGCCCCTGCCTCTCTGCCCCTGGGATCAGGCAAATTGTGATAACAAAGAGAAGAGGACTAGTCAACAGGGGGGCACATGAAACCCCAAATGTCTCACATTTGCATCCTCATCCCCTAGAAAGGGAGCTCATGCAACACCCCACGACAGATACTGTGTTGGTTACTAGACATAGAAGATGGTTCAGGGATCATGTATCTAAAATGCAGAAACAGCTCATGATTACAGTGGTACAGCTGCATCGCTACAAAGAAGAGCTTTACCAAGCTCTGCCCTTTTAGCAGAAGCAGATATGGTTTCGTGAATATTCTTCAGTCTGTGCAAAGCTGATTTTGAACCTCGTTAGCAAACGTAGTTATGGTATATCTGTAAACCATGAGAAAATTTCAGGGGGTGGAGGTAATGCTCCCTTGCTCAGTGTTCAACCCACCAGTGAATGGGTACGAGTGGACCCTGTAAGGTCCTCAGTGTCCAATGAGACCCATCTGGGTCTGATTTGAACCTCTGATTACTCACCCTGTGACTTAGTTTACCCCATGAAATTCATAACGCTGATTCTTCTACCAAATATTTTCGTATGAGCAGACGACACAACAAAATTAGAACATTGGACTGATTCTTACTTCTCAAAGAGTTCTTTACGTTTCTGAGCCAGGTATTTCTTCTTTAAATTTGCCAGTTCGTTGCCAAGTTTCTCGATCTCATACTTATACTCTTGGCTCTGTGATTCATACATATTCAGTTCTGCAGACAAAACCTAATGTGGCAAGTAGAGCAGCATTAGCAAAAGACAGGCAGTGAAATAATATCCTTTTCTGAAAAATCTTAAGCTGCTAGTTTACCACATAGGTTCTCGAGGTATCAACTGATCCCCACAGTTAACAATCAACCTGCATACTGCCACAGGTTCAAGGTCCATGTCTAGGTAAAAATCTGGCTGAGGGCTGATCAAGTCACAGACACAAATGAAGCATCATTCTCTCGCTTAAAAGGAGAACCATCAGGCAATATGCAAATGAGCTCAGATGAATGGATAATGTGTTTCAAGGAAAATTGTGAGGAGAGACAGGAAAACTCCCAGACATACAGTCTAAAATTGCTTTTAAAGCCTTTTAAAAAATATTCAAGAAAAAAACAACAACACAAAGGAGTGTGATTTATCTGAGGATTATGGTGCGAATTATACTGAAATCATGCTGCTACCACCATTAACTAGGCATTTAATTTATGTTTGCCAAGGTGGTTGTTCTGCTAAGTGACTCTTGCCTCTTGATTGTATTCTGTGGGACTCTTCACGGGTTCTCCCTTTATCCCAGCACTGGGACACTTACCCCTAACAAGCAGGGAGCTATGACATGTGCACAGGAGAGCGTAATGCAACACAGAAGCTGTGATAAGAAGCCTGGTCACCCACCTCCCTCCATGGCTGTTTTCAATAGGTGCTACTGGTCTCTGGCTAGACGAGAGTAGGAACTTAGTCATCCACAGAGGACAGAAAGTATGCCAAGTGAGTGAGGGTGTGCTCCCTACCAAAACCAAGGTAAGCAAAGGTAGACTATTGCTCTAAGGGGCCTGCAATACGGTCTATTTTTTTTCCCTTGCTCGCTATTTTAAAGACTTGCATAAAAGATCTTCAGCTGGGGGCCAGTGGCCCACACCTGTAATCCTAGCTGTTTGCCTAGGAGGCAAAGATCAGGAGGATTTCAGTTCGAAGCCAGAAGGCAAATAGTTTGCAAGACTCTATCTTGAAAAAAAACCCAACACAAAACATGGCAGAGTTGCTCAAGTGCCTGCCTGGCAAGTGTGAGGCCCTGAGTTCAAGCCCTAGTACAGCCAAAATAAGTAAATAATAAAACAGAAGATCTTCACCATTTTGTTTTGCTTTGTTTTTATTTTTTGAGACAAGGTCTCTACATAGTCTAGTCTGGCCGCGAACTTGCAATCCTTTGGCTTCAGCCTCCCAAGTAGGATTACAAGTGTGTACAACTATGCCTGGCTTTTTATAAAGATGATAAGGCTTCTTTTTTATTGTTTGGTGGGATTTTTCTTACTAAGCTGGGAATCAAACCCAGGGCTTTGCACATGCTAGGCAAGTGCTCTACCACTGAACTACATCTCTAGTCATAGACCTTCAGCTTTTGGGTGTTTATCAGCTTCTGAAGTCTTTGCTCTTAATTGCTGTGAAAATGATTCTGATGATGCTGTCATGAGCTGAAGAGTGGATTTTCATGTTGGAAGAAAACCTCTTTCTATGGTCAAAGTCTTAGGAGAAAAAGACCCAGTTTCTAAACAATGAATGGGAAATTTCCAGAAAGTGACACTGAGCTGTCCTCCTAGCCCAGCACCACCCTACTCTGAACTTCTGAAAGGTGTCACACTTCATTCTGAGCAAAAACTGTGGATTTCTTGAGATAAAGGGTTAAAGTAACAAAAGGCCCCTGTGCAAGTCATTTATGGCCATTCAGAGCAAAGTATAGACTTGTGCTTTTCTAATCTATATGCACACAAAGAAAACAAGAAAGTAATGTATTTTGTTTGAAATATTCAGTTGTTTCAAGGACCAAGATGATCAAAATCATATGCCTTATGCAAAACTTAAAGTATGTTTCTGGATACTCATGTGGAATGAACACTCAGAATAATGTGAAAATCAATATTCCAATTAGACTTGTGTTTTATCTACCCTTTCTGCATATGTGCGATTTTGAAAGGGTTAATGCCACACTAGTAGGTGGCATCTATTTTACCCTGAGCAGAAGGCAACGGTTATTACCCTTGGGCAGGTGTGTATGGGATACCAGCTGACATGAGCTGCCCTCCTTGGAAGTGTGTGTGCAAAACTTCCCTAGTATGCCAAGAATCACAGAGACGAGACTCACTTCAGATGTAAAGCTCCAAATATCACATGAAGACACATAATTTTTGAGAAAACTCAGAAAAAGTGCATAGACCAGTAAAACACTCTACCTGTCCAACTAAGGTTCTTATGTGACTTAGAAGGGAATTATGCTAACAAAATTCTTGCATGATTTTATTTCCCTTTCTTGTCTACTTATCTGACACACAGTCATGAAGCAAAGCCTCAGGGACTAGCCTTGTGCTGGGTGAATGTTGATTTCAGGTGCAAAGGATAGCTCAAACCGGCTTCGATGTGGTGATCTGCTTCTGCAAACATGGCATCCCACATTTCCTCTGCTCCTTTCCACCATCCAAGTCCTCTAAATCATCTTGTGATCATCCACACAAATTTCTACATCATTGCTTTCGTCCTTTCCCCAACTCCTTCCTGTGTGCTTATACTCCTTCTGGTAACCAAGGACTGAGGTGTCTAATGAGCTCTAAGGAAGCTGACTCAGTGGAGTGTGGCACTTAGGAGACTGGTTCACCATGCGGAGGCATGGACTTCTCCATGGATGGCCCCCAGTGTGGCCTCCTTTCACCCACCAAGAGCAGAGCCTGCCACTTACTTTGAGCTGCTTGGTCTTCTCCTGCAGGGTGTGCCGGTAGATCTGCAGCTGCTCTGCGGCTTCAGGGCCTGGCTGTCGTGCCAAGATGTGCTTCAGCTCCACATATAGTTTCTCCTTTTCCTGGTGGAGGGCATAACCAGGAGCAGACATGAACAGCCTGCCCACACAGGGAAAGGTCCTTCCGCCTCACAGTCAGGAGGGCTCAGGAGCATCCCAGACTTCTTTGCGGGTGCATACTGATCACATGCACTACCCTGTTCTTTCAGCATGCCCGGCACTTGGATTCAAATAATAAAGACAAATGAGTAAGAAAGTCCCTCTCTACCTGGACGTATGATCACTGGGTAGTCCCAGGGAGTCTCAACAAAGTATTGTAGCTGATGAAAGCCAGGAGGGAAAATAAATAGGATCTTCCTCCAAAGAGAGAGAGAATAGAAGAGATTTTTAGGTGAAAGTTCTGTGTTGGACAGGGGTGCAGTGAGCCCAGCTCAAGGCACAGGGAAGGACGAAGGAAAGAATGGGGAGAAGACCCCATCTCATAGGGTGAGATCACAACCTTTGTTAGTGGAAGCCAGAGACAAGATGTGCCTGGGTTGTCTTCAGAGGAAAAAGTCCACCAGAAAAGCAGACTGCAGAAGGAGAACCCTACCCAGGGCCCCACTGCAAGCAGAAGATGCAGAAGGCTGGACTGCAGCACCCAGGATGGGAGGCGGGTAGATGTGAAGACATGATCAAGGTGTAATCAGCAGGATTTGGTGAATGATCAGATAAGACAGGAAGGAAGGGGCAGGAGCTATAATAACCCGAAAGTGTCTAATATGGGGTCAGGGAAGATGGTGGTGACAGAGGCAGGGATGCTGGAGGAGGAGCAGGTTTCTCAGAGGCAATGTTGTTGCTGATTAGGGTGAGGTCACTTTGTGCCTGGGCTCTGTAGGACATCTGGGAGAGCAGCTGACATGTGGCCCAGTGAAGAAAAGCAAAGCACAAGTTGGATCAAAAGAGTCAGATATTTGGGAGAACAAGAAAGCAAGGGATGGGTAAGGAAGAGAGATCAGAGAGAGAGAAAAGAAGGGAGAAAATTGAACATCCATCAAAGAAAGGCAGGTGTTTGGGTGGGCAGTGATTTGAGTAGTCAGTGATGTCAAGTGAGATGGAGAAGCAAAAGGCACTGCACACAGCTTGGGGGAGTCACCAGGACATGGCAGCAGACCTCACTCAGACCAGCTGCAGCAACACACAGGTTGAAGAATAAATCATAAGGCAGTGAAGAAAGTGAGTCTTTCAAGAACTGTGATGACATGGGAAGAAAAAGACCAGAAAATGGATTAAACACACACTCACACACACATTCACACACACTCACACATGCACTCACACACTCACAGGCTCTCACAAACTCACACGCACTCACACACTCAAAAACACGCAGTCACACACTCACACACTGACATGCACTCACACACTCTCACACACAATCTCACACACTCACAGGCTCTCACACACTCACATGCACTCACACACTCAAAAACATGCAGTCACACACTCACACACTAACATGCACTCACACACTCTCACACACTCTCACACGCAATCTCACACACAATCTCACACACTGACATGCAGTCACACACACTCACGGCACTCACACACACATATTCACACAGTCACATGCACTCACACTCACACGCAAACACTCACACATGCACACACACACACACTAACACACACACTCATGCTCACACACTCATGCATTCACACATGGCACTCAAACTTACGTGCTCACACACCCACACACTCACATGCACTCACACTATCGCACTCACTCTCACTGTCACACTCATGCACTCGCATTCACATGCACTCACACTCACACACTCAAATGCACTCACACACTCTCACACTCACACACACTCTAGCTCACAGACTCCAACACACACATTCACAGGCACTCATGCTCACACTCACACCCACACACCCACATACACACTCACACTCTCACTCATGCACTCTCACTCTTTCACATACACAGACACACACACTCAGTCTCACACTCTTGCTCACAAACTCACACTCTCACACACACACACTCTCAAACTCACTCTCATACACACAAACTCAATCACGCACTCACATACTCACGCTCTCACACTCTTCCTCACACATTCACTCACACTCAGACATACACATTCACACTCACAAGTACTCACACACAGTCTCACTCACAAACTCTCACAGTCACACTCACATGCACTCACACTCATGCACTCACACACACACTCTCACATACTCACACTCACAGTCACACACTCATGCAGTCACAATCACATGCATTCACACATGATCACATGCTCATGCACTCACAGTCTCACACTCTTGCTCACAAACTCATACTCTCACACACTCATGCACTCACACTAATGCACTCACACACACTCTCAAACTCACACTCATACACTCAATCACACTCTCACACACGCTCTCACTCTTGCTCACACACTCACACTCAGACATACACATTCACACACTCACATGTACTCACACTCACACATTCTCACAAACTCTCACACACTCACACATTCTCACACTCAAACACACACTCACTCTCACATGCACTCACATACCCTTGCACACTCACACACATTCACACACATCTCCATTCTAGATCCCCATATCTCTTACGTGCAATACTTTGAGCAAACATTGTCTCTGTGCATACTTACTATGAGAAGTACAAGCCCTCTCATTAAATGAAACATCCAGTCAAATGAAAACTCATTTCTACCTAGAGCTACATCATCTTGGCATTGTCATCAAATAATCTATTTTTATCAGAGCACGTAAAAGCCTTGAAAAAAATAGGTAAAATTCATTAACCAGGTATTGTTACTATTTGTTTCAGTTTTTCCTTCCCCCTGGGCAAATTATAGAAACTTTATTACAAAAACATAGCCCTCCCTACAAGACTATTGCTTAAACTTCCTTAAAAATTAGCTAATGGAATAAAAAATTCTGGAGCAACACATAATAATAGTAATAATAAAACAATTGCCACTTAAGAGATAATTCCAGAAATAACAAAGATACCCAAAAATCAGCACTGAAGAAAACTTGAAGAAACAGAATTATAGAATGGTTTTCCTTTGCCATTCAACCCCTCCTGTCACACCTTACAATGTCATCTTCACAGTAAATGGATGTAGCAAGCAATGAGAAAGATATCAGGAGGTGAGTTTATTTTGTATAGCCACTTAACGCCTGCTCTGTTGGAAAAATAACACTTCTGACAAGCCTTCAAGATTCAATTTGGAGAGGGTAATACATAGGTGCTGAAGCCCAGGAAACCATTTCATCCATTTCTTTCAGCTCACCTTTCTTTATTCCAGAGTACAGAAAGATTGGAGAAGTAAAGAACCCCACAGTGATGAAGAGGAAACAATCTAATTTGGGATATAATAGTGTCTTAAACTCAAAAGACCATCTTATTCCAAGAACCATGATATGTTTCACGTGTGTGATTCTTTTCAATTACTTCTGGTATGTAGGGAGCAGGGAGGCACAGATAAAGTTTGGGAGAAGCAAATGTTTTGCCTCACTCCAAATGTGAGAATCCCAAGGTCAGTGGGAATTAATGGTGAATCCAAAGTCCCTTGAAAAGTCAAAAATGGGGGATTCCAAGATGGTGGCTAGAGGGAGGAAGCAGAAAGCGAGCCTCCTATAGTGAAATCTTGGAGAGACGCTAGAGACACACTTTGCAGGCATAATCACTGAGAAAAGGCATAACTTTGACCCCTCCACACCTCGAGCCAGTGCAGAGAATATCCACTTCACATTAAATGGAGAAACCAGGAGGGTCCCCGGGCAGCCAGTCACCAGCGCCCAGATGGCTTGAGAAGGTGAGCTTCATGGTACCACGGTACTCCCACAGACAAGCCTGGGCCAGAGCAGCATAGCCCCCTGGACAGACTGACCTCCACCAGGTGGAAAAAGAGAAATTGAGTAATAAGCAATAAGAGCAATAAAGACACACTGGAAAGAGGGTGGGGGCGCCCTGAGCGCTGAAGACTGGGGGAAGGGAATCCTTCCCGGGACTGTAAATAAACAAGCCGGGCAGGCCGGAGAGCCTCTGGTGGGAGCGGGGGCGCCCAGCAACCAGGAGCGGGGAAGCTTGTGAGAGTGGTGGAGGGAGGAAAACTCCACAGGAGAGGAGGGAAGACCCACTTCCCACGTGAACTGTAAACAAACATGGCGGCAGGCAGGAGCAGCAGCACCACCCAGTAAGCAGGAGCAGGAAAGCTTGTGAAAGTGGCAGTGGGAGGAAAACTTCACAGGAGAGGGGGGAAGACCCACCTCCCACATGAACTGTAAATAAACACAGGCCTGACAACGTGGGTGCAGTGTCACCTTTCCCAGTGCTTGGAAAGGGGAAAGCCTGTAGCAGAGGCTCCCACACAGGAGAACTCTGACAAACAAAGCCTGCTGGGCCAGGTGAGTGCTAAGCTCACCCAGAGATCTGCATAAATAACCTCCAGCACGCAGGCTGACAGCAGCGGGCAGGCAAGCCACAGCTGCAGATACCATTCTCAGAACTGTCTCCAGACTCTTTTTTTTCTTTTTCTCCCTACCTTTGATGAGAGAACAACCGAATTACACCTGCAAGCAGAAAAACTTACTGAAACTGTATTGCATTTGAACTTGGGACACTTGGTGGGTTTTGTGTTGTTTGTGTGTGTGTGTGTGTGTAGTTTTGTTCTACTTTATGCATCCCCTTTGATGAGACAACTACAGAACAACATCTGAGGCACCATTCCAGGATGGAGACTGAGACGGACACCAAATTATTAAGACTGAAACTTCATTGCATTTGAACTTGGAGGTTTTTTGGGTTTTTTTTTTTTATTTTCATTTTCCATTTTAATTCATTTTATATATAGATATTTCTTTCATTTACTTATTTTTATTTTTATTCTATCTTAATTTTTTTATTTTGATTTTCAATCTCTCTGTCCTCTAATGTCTGTTCAGCTTACTGTCGATTAGTACACTAACGCTCCCTGTTTATACCTTTGAAACTTCTTGTCTGAACCTTGTTCTGTTTCTCCTCTTGTCTGTATTTGTTTTCC